GCAAGTACATACTCACTCATATATCTCATACATGCACGAGGCTCAGAGAACAATAAAAAAGACCGTGCTGCTTTTATGTTATTTAAGCTAAACCACAGCCTGATCTTCATGTTATTCAACTCCCATCAGCCCCAGCAAGCATGACCAATGATCAGGGGTGACGGAACTTCTGGAAAGGACAATATTGGCTGACTTGGATCCTGATGGATTGGACGAAATGTCTACTAGACCAACTTCTTGTTTCTCATAGTGGCCAACTAGATGTCTCTATGAAACCCATAACCAGAGCAAGAGATGCTACTGAAGGAGCTTGCAGATGTAATCTCAGAGCTTCTTTGTATAATCTTTAAGAATTCTTGGCGAACAGGTGAGGTCCCTGAAGGACTGGAGGTGAGCAAATCTTGTCCCTATCTTCAAAAGTGGGGGAAAGAAGATCCAGGTAACTACCGACCGATCAGCTTGACGTCAGTACCAGGAACAGATCATTCAACAGTCTATGAGAAGTTAGGAAAGGAAGCTGTGATTACTAAGACCCAGCATGGGTTTCTCAAAAACAAGTCATACCAGATGAATCTCATCTCTTTTTTTGATAGAGTTACAACTTCGGTGGACAGGATGGGGACCTAGTTTTTTCTCTGTCTTTCTTTCTACACACACCGCCCTCCCCTCACCATTATTATTTCACTCTTCCAGAAGAACTGGTGGCCTTATGTTTCTTCCCTACCACAAAGGAATTCTGTAGTTACCTCTAGCTCTGCAAGCTTTGCGCCGATATCTTTTCTGCTCTTCTAGGAAAATGTGACATCTTGATCCTCGATGAAGAGGGCATTGCAGAAACTTTCCTGCTTAACTGTTTCCAGAATTGTGCCCTGGCTGAGGCTTGTTTATGAGGCAACTTCAACTGTTTAAGATATGAAAAGCCAGCCTTGACGGGAGTGAATATGACACAGTATAAAGGCTGAATTTATCAGAGCAAATGTGCCTAAGAGTGATAAATAAAACACTACTTAAATTTCAAACAGATCCTTAAACAGCACAGATATGAAACTAATATGACAGTTCTTCGTCTTTTGTCAAGACAGCTGCATTCAAAAGATCCTTTTTTAAAAGAAAGTAACAGAAGTGAAAGCTCTGGAAATTGTATAATGATTATATCTCAGAATGATGGCAGCAGGGGGGGGAATAAAGTGTCTCAGAGCAAAACCTGATTTTACATTAGGAAGGTGCTTTATACCTAGTCAGGTGATTGGCCCAACCAATTCAGTCTTGAAAAAGGGACCTACTGAATGCAGAGCAGGTTCTCTATCACTGAGTTACAGCCCTTCCTATGGTATTTATGATTATTTACATTCATCATTTGCTTTACACCATAAAGAATCTCCCAAAGTGACTTGACAAGATAAAATACAACACATGAAATCACACTACCACGCTACCCACTGAGCACACTCCAGGTTATGCAGCCCAGCTCTAGCAAGAGAAGTGTTGCTATCAGTACAAGAAACCGCAACAGAATAGGCCACCCATAGATAGGGCTACAGAACACTCATTTAGCCATTTGAAATATGTATCTATTTGGCACAGCCCCTCTAGAGAAATACACATGCAAAATATATGTCATTTTTCTCCCAAAGCCACACAACTCTTGGCAATAGGCTCGCCACTCCAAGGACCTTGCTATGGTTATGCTGTTTATCACCTCTGCAGTTTTCTATTGCTCCTCATGACAGATAAATTATAACTACTTCCCAAAACTCATACTATTAATAGGTTAGATTTACTATTATTATTGCAAGCGTAGATGCCTACTCTTTGATTTTGGTCTTTAACGAGAGACCACTGAGAGGCAGGCAGTAGCTTTTCAGTGAACTGCAGAGACCTGTGAGTCATTAATAAGGGGGACAGAAGCTTGTTCTGCACAAATACTACCATAGATACATCTACCCATTGTTAATATTGCAGAAGGGAAGGACGTCTCTTACAAAGACCTGTTTTTTGTTGTCTGATGCAGAGAGGTATATATCCTTTAGAACATCCAAATTCTTTGCCAAGGCTTTGCAAAGAAATGATTTATCCTGTAAAGCTCAGGGAGGAGAAATGTAAACCACTATTATTAGCAGTATTCTTGTTGTTATTATTTTTAATGTGTGTAATGGCTGCTTGCTAAACACAATAAATCAAACTGAACTACCATGAATAGTTCAATTTTCCTTTTAGGTCAAGGAAATGCTATGCTGGAGAAGCAGAAGAAGCAGCAGAAGCCGTTGATTCACTTTAGTGGGATTTACTTCTTGAAACCTTTAGGGCACCGCTTCAAAGCCTTGGACAGCCTCCTGAAGCTTTGATGCCATGATGGAGCTAATATTCAGATCAAGGGTTGAGAATCTGTGCCCCTCCTAGATGTTTCTGGGTCTACAACTCCAATCATCATACCTGAAGGAGCGTCTCCACCCCCATTGTTCTGCCTGGATGCTGAGGTCCAGCGCCGAGGGCCTTCTGGTGGTTCCCTCATTGTGAGAAGAAAAGCTACAGGGAACCAGGCAGAGGGCCTTCTCGGTAGTGGCGCCCGCCCTGTGGAACGCCCTCCCATCAGATGTCAAAGCGATTAACAACTACCGGACATTCAGAAGACATCTTAAGGCAGCCCTGTTCAGGGAAGTTTTTAATGTGTGACATTTTAGTGTATTTTTGGTCTCTGTGGAAGCCACCCAGAGTGGCTGGGGAAACCCAGCCAGATGGGCGGGGTACAAATAATAAATTATTATTATTATTATCATCATCATCATCACTGATCATTTACCATGTTGGCTGGGGCTTCTAAGAACGCAAGAAGATCCCTGCTGGTTCAGGCCAATGACCCATATAGTTCAGCATCCTATTGTCCCAGTGGCCAACCAGATGCATCTGGGAAACACTCAAGCACTTTCCCCTCCTGTGGTCTGGTATGCAACTGGCCTTCAGAACCACTGTTGGCTTCAGCTGTGGAGGCAGAGCAGAGCTCACGGGGCTAGTAGCTATTTATAGATTTCTCCTCCATGAATTTGTCCAGTTCTCTTTTAAAGCCAACTAACTATGCCATGGGTAGGCAAACTAAGGTCCGGGGGCCAGATCCGGCCCAATCGCCTTCTAAATCCAGCCCGTGGACGGTCTGGGAATCAGCTTGTTTTTACATGAGTAGAATGTGTCCTTTTATTTAAAATGCACCTCTGGGTTATTTGTGGGGCATAGGAATTCATTCATATTTTTTTCAAAATATAGTCCAGCCCCCCATAGGTTCTGAGGGACAGTGGACCGGCCCCCTGCTGAAAAAGTTTGCTGACCCCTGAACTATGTGCTTCGTGAAAAGTACTTTCTTTTATCTGTCCTTAATTTTCCAACATTAAGCTTCATGGGGTTGTAGTCTTATGAGAGAGGGAGAAAAACTTTTCTCTATACACTTTCTCGGTGCCATGCATAATTTTATAAAATTCCACCATCTTGCTTCTTACGTTTTTTCTAAGCTAAAAAGTCCTAAATGCTGCAACCTTTCTTCATCAGGGAGCTGCTCCATCCCCTTAATCATTTTGGTTGCCTTTACCAAACCTTTTCTAACTCAGCGATATCCTTTTTGAGATGAGGCCACCAGAACAGTACACAGTATTCCAAATGTGGTCACACCACAGATTTTTATAAGGAGATTATGATGCTGGCAATTTTATTTTCAATTCCTTTCCTGATGATCCCTAGCATGGATTTTGCCTTTTTCACAGCTGCAATACACTGGGTCTACATATTCACTGAGCTATCTACGATGACTTCAAAGTCTCCAGGTCAATCACCGCCAGTTTAGACCCCACGAACATACGTTTTCCTTGCATCACTTTACACATGTTTACACTGAATTGCATTTGTCATTTTACCACCCAGTCACTCTGTTTGGAGATCTTCACCATCACTTTTTGTTTTAATGACCCTGGCATTTGCACTTGCTGTACACATCAGAGAGAGGGCGAAGACATCTTCATTCAATATCCATTGAGTGATTTGTTATTCCATGCCTGCAAACCCTTGGACTCCTATTAAATGACTGAGGACCACAATACCTCAAGGACCGCCTCTTTCCATATGAACCTACCTGGACCCTGAGATCATCTTCTGAGGCCCTTCTTCGTGTACCTCTTCCTCGAGAGGTCTTGAGGGTGGCAACACAAGAACAGGCCTTCTCTGCAGTGGCTCCCAGTCTGTGGAATGCTCTCCCCAGGGAAGTTCACCTGGTGCCTTCATTATACACTTTTAGGTGCCAAGCATGGCCTTTGGTTGATTCAATTTACATCCTATGCCCTTTTAAAATGTGGGGGGTTTGGGGTTGTTGTTTTTATTTTGATTATGTATTTTGTGGTTTTATATTTTGATTTTATTATATGAACCACCCTGAGACCTCTGGGTATAAGACGGTATATAAATTCAATTAATAATAATAATAATAATACTGTCGTCTGCGCATGCACTGACATCTGTGCATGCGTAATGGGATATCTCAAATGTTCACACTTCAGCTTACGTTTTCAAATCAGATGGAAGCTGGTTTGAGGGTAAACTTATCAGACAGCAGTATTTCTCAAGAAACGACAGGATACATATGGATTGTGCCTAATGTCATGTGTACTCAGCTTCAAACACCAGCTGTGGGAGCACACTGGAGCCAGAGTAAATGGTAATGTGTACACAACCTAAGTCTGGGGGTGTTTTCAAACTTTTCTGCTGCTGCTTCTCTTTGGGAAAGCAGGGAGACCTTATGCAAGAGAAGCTGATCTGGACATAATGATTCCTTGCTTATAATAATGACTGCATTGACTTGTATTATTTATGCTTAATGACTGCTTTAAGCTGATTATTTCTTTGGTGGGGTGGGGCAGAACAGTGAGGGGGCCTGTCCTTCCCTTTCAGGTAAACAGGACTTTATGACAGGAAACCAGAGCAGGCTAATGTAAACAACGTATTTTGCCTACCTTTGTGTTTCAGCTCAGTAGCTCGATACAACCACATTTCTCCACAGACACGTCTTCCCTTATTGAAAGGTAATGGTGGGAACCAACCTAAGGACATGCAAAATGCAAGATTTTTTAATCAATGAGAAGCTATTAATTTAACCAACTCTTCCTGTAATAATATTGAGACAGACTGTCTGCCTGTTTTTACATTATAGCTAGCTTTGCAATCTGTGTGGAACGTAATGAGGTGTGTAATTTTTGTGAATTTATTGATTGTGAATAAGTAGTAAGAATTTAAAGCTGACAGATTGTAGCACTTTTCTCACTTAGTTCTTTAAAAATTAGCTCGTTTAGTATCAGCTGTTGACTTTTGCCACCGCATATGGAATTCATTTTGATGGGGGTTTTTTTGGCGGGTGGGGGGAAGATAAGTTATATTCGAATAGAGTCTTGCTCTTATTCAACGGATCAGGGAAAAGCTTGAAATGTATGTAAAATCTCCACTGCTGCTTCAAGTGCTCCACTTAACAGCATGATCCTATGCATGCTTTCTAAAAAGTAAGTCCCGTTGTGCTCATTGTGCTTACTCCTAGGAAAAGGAATGCAGGATTGCTACCTAAATAATGGAATATAGGGGTACAGCCTGGTGGCATTACAAGTGTTGGCTTAATAGTGTATAAAATAATAGATAAGCTCATCTGTACATAGAGAACATAAGATGAGTCTGTTGGACCAGGCCAATGGCATCTCCCAGTGGCCAACCAGATGCCTATGGGAAGTTTGAAAGCTGAACATAAACAACAGAACTCTACTGTTCGAGCAACAGACCCTTGCTCCAAATCTCTTATTTATGTCACATTAGGCTGAAAGAGATGAGAAATAAAACAATTTTTGTGGTAGCAACCTTGTCATGAAACTCCCTTTCCTGGGGAGCCTTTCCAGACAGACGCCTTGTGATTTTATTGATTTATTTGACAAATATTGGCAGTCTATTAACAATGTTCTCTGGCTGGTTCAGTTCTCTGAAAAGGGAGTTAGCTACCTCTGGTCTAGTTGTAATGGTCTAGTTGTTACCTGCTGTCAGGGATTGGGCTCAAGAGGGGGAGATGGAGGAGGAGGGGGAATGGTGGAGATCACGCCCCCCCTTCTCCTGATGCTGCAGGAGAGGGGGAAGGCAGTGCTGAATTCCAGCAGGGCTTTGAGGAATTTGAGGAAGGTCACAGCTCAGAGATAGACAAACGGAGAAGTTGGGCAGTGTTGGAAGAAGAAGGGGGGACTGCAAAGGGGCAGCTAGATGACACATTGTCACTGGAGAGCATTTCTGATCCCCCTTCTCCCAGAATGCAATGTTTGTTAAGAGTACAGGAACAAAGGACTCAGAGACATTTGGCCACAAGTGGCCACCATAAGGGAAGATGCAGTTGTTAGGATGGAGGGAGGAGGAGCCTAGTTTGGAGCAACACTATTGTTGAGGCTTGTTGCGTTCTTTTGCCTCTCACTATTCAGATTGAATAAAACTCATTAAAAATACAGTCATACCTCGGGTTGCGAGCGTGATCTGTGCGGGAGGCACCTTCGCAACCCGCAGAGCTGTGTCTGCACACGCATGCGCGTGATGCAATTCGGTGCTTCTGAGCATGCTCTTGACATCATTTTGTGCTTCTGCGCATGCAGCGAAACCTGGAAGTAACCCATTCCAGTACTTCCGGGTTTGGCGCAGTCCGCAACCCGAAAATGCGCAACCCGCAGAGTTCGCAGCCCAAGGTATGACTGTACCTTGTTTTCTCTGCTGCAACTGGGGGAGGAATAGCTTTCCTAAGCCTTGGCAGAGCCTTGACACCTGCTTTACCCCTTCAGGCAGGAAAACCTGAAGAAGGACGTCCGGTCAAAATGTGGACAGGTGGAGGTGATCCTTCAGGAAACCTGGCTCCAAGTCATTTAGAAAATGGGGCAGTGGGAAGAGTTCACAGAAGCTGACTGCATCAAATTTGCGTAGGAGTGGGTGAATTTGTCCATTTAGGTTTCTCTTGTTTTCACATTGTTCTAGTCTTAACATTCAGTTCTCCGCATTTCCACCTCGGTCTGAGTTTTCTATTTTTAAAGCATTTCTCCTAATATGCACATTTTTTGTGCATGTGATTTTGCCTATAACGAACATTTTTGCAAAACATTTCCCGTAGCACATGCTAAAAACATTCGTGTTTAGATAAGGCTACCCAGACGCTTAGGAAGCTGAGGTAATTTCAATCTGGTTTTGTATTTCAGCTTTTGTATGTTTTAAAGTAGGGGTTGTGGGTTTTTCTACATCTCAGTGTTTTTGCTCTCAAAAAAATGCTTTGAGATTTATTAATTTTTTTTACAAGCAAGCAGTGTATACATACTATGAAATTATATATATATATATATATATATATATATATATATATATGCATGTCATTTTCATGAATATACATCACACATTTTTATGCACACTTTAGCACAGTATATGGATCTTTGTGCACATTACTTGTCTGGAGAACTGCACTGCAAAATTCAGAGAAGTGTGGATTTTGAAGGATGGTTGCATTTCAGCTCTTTTACTGTTTCAGAAAGCATGAGTTGCGTAGACTTGCCTTTAAAAGTGAATCAAATTTCTCCTTCATTGCTAGGTATGACACACAAGGCAATATCAGCAAGCCAGCTCTAGTTTAGAGCATAAAATGATTCCAACTAATAGCTGAATAGGCAGACTTTAAAAAAATATGAGCACATATCTAATGTATAACTACATCATTTTAAGAAGAAGATTTTCTAAATCAGTTTAAACTGCTCCCCCCCATCCATGCTAAGTTATGGCATATTTCTACAATAAACTTAAAAATAAGTATTCAAAGAAGGAACCTGCTGTCAGCAGATGGTTACAGGATTTTGCAGTTCTTGATTGATCTATTATCTCTGCAATATTTCTCTGATCTTTTCATCTGCATTCTGCACACCATCTAACACCTTATGACATTATGTGTGATAGCTGTGGTACTTCTATAGCTAGCACTTATATTTTCTGACAGGTACAGATCTGTCTCGAAACAATTTTTGCAAAGTCTTGAACATTTTAATGTATTTTTGTCAGGATTTTCAAACCTGATATTAAGTGAGTAGTCAACAGCTGTTGATTCATATTGTGTGCATGTGCGTGTTTTAAAACACACACACACACACACACACACACACACACACTCTTTCTTTCTTTTCTTTTCTTGCTTTTTGATGTATCTTTTCTCAGATATCAAGGAATGCCAGCACAGCTTTTGCAATTAACTCATATATTACTTTCTGCATAATGCACTTGAAGTCCTAATTAAGGAGTTTAATCAGATAGAGTTAGCTCTGCTTTTGTCCGTTGAACTCATGCACTCTGTTGGTAGCTGAGTGGTACACCGTGTGTTTATTTAAGCACCAAATGTATGCCCAGTATGTTTTCATTTGTTTAAGGGACATACATGCAGAAGTATGTTGTCATAGTTTATTAAAAACACTTATATGCTGTCTTTTATCATAATGAAAGAAGGGCTGTAACTCATTTGTAGAGTATCTGCTTTGCTTGAAAAAAGGTCCCAGTTTAAATCCCTGGCATCTCCAAGCAGGTTTGGAGAGACGGCAATCCAAAATCCTGGAGAACCACTGGGCCAATAGTCTGACTTTTGTATAAGGCAGCTAGGGTTTTAGTGCATTTGCTTGAAAGCAGAGCTGTCAAAAAGACATAATCAGCAGACCAAGTTGATGGAGTATGCTGAAATGGCAAAATTAATTGGGAAGCTCAGGAACCAAGAAGACAAGAAATTGAAAAAAGAATGGGAAATGTTTATAATGTATATACAAAATCATTGCAAACAGGTCAAAACATTAGCAGGATTTTAAATACATTTGTAATGTAATAGAAACTACAGATAATTTAGGAAGATGAAAGAAATGGAGAAGTATTGATATATGCAGATGAAAACAGAATTAAGAGGACCCCTGGATGGGATGGCGGGAAATCGGGAGATGCAGAATAATCTCGATATGTGAATGTGTATGGCATTTTGATGTAACTTTTTCTTTTTTCTTCCTTTTTCTTTTTGTTCTTCTTTCTTTTCTTTCTTTTTGAAAATCAAATCAATTTTTTTTTAAAAAAAAACCACATAATCAAACTTTGTATTTTTATCTCTAGTTGTTTTGAAATAAAAGTGAGGTCAGAGTTGCTGAAATACTTTTTTGTGAAATCTCTGGTGCTTCTCCTTTTTTCATGATGGTTAATTATTTTCTCATAAACATATACAAGTGCAGATCACTTAATATCAGTAGATAGAGGAATAACATGGTGGAAATTGTACCACTGATGAGCTTATCAAAAAGATTTAACGAGATTGCCACTGAGTCACAGATTCGAGGTTGCCTGTTTACATGACAAATTAAAACTGAACAGGCTACTGTACAATGCTGACCTGACATATTTAAAAGAGCACTAAAAGAATAAGCAGGTAAAACTATTATGAGATGAACAAGAGTTAATGTGACCAGGCATATAATATAAACCACATCTAAAAAATCTGTTGGATATAAATCAATGGGTCATGAAAATTTAAGGAAATTTAACTTGCCTAACTCCCTTTCCGATTTAATAGGATCCATTAAATAGGAAACAGTATAGCTAGCTAATGAAAAGAACACCAAAGTTATCACGTTCTGTTGTGTCCTCCCTGGGTCCTTTTGTCCTTTGATTGCACTGGTAGATAATATTATTTTGTTCCCAAGGAAATATGTCCCTTTGATTAGGTTGTAGATATTCTCTCATTTGTCATTGTTCTATCGAGCTCTGCCATATAACAGCAGGAACCCTTGATTATTTAATTGCTTGTAAGAACTCATTAAATCTTACTATCAATCATGGGACATATGGTAAATATCACCCAATGGTACAAGAGATTGTTACAGAGACCTGTCACTAGGGCATACCATTTGCTTTTATATTATGAGTCTATTGTTTGGTTGCCCAGCCACAATTATTTTTAATTACTAATGATTTACGGATAATAGTTCATCTACTGATATGAGCATGTTCTTAGAAAGAACACGAAAAACACTGGCAATTTAAAAAGTAGGCGTTTCTGGACAGCTGATATATTATAGCAGCTAAGAGAATTAACTTTGATCCATGAACTTGCTGGTTCAAGGCTCACCTCAGCCATGACCTCACTAAGTATGGCTTCTTCTGCAATGCAGGAATGATGAATATGGCTTTGCAGGCCTGTTTTTAAGTATTACTATGTTAGCATATGTGATGTCTTTTGAGCATGCTTAAATTATTGCACATTTTCATTCATTTTACAGATGCTGGTCCTGGGCCAATGAATATCTGATCTTTATACCAACTTGCTGGCTTGAATGTGGATGGAGAGTTGAATAAAAAGTAAAACCAAAGAGGTCACAATGACAGACCAAAGGTGTCCACCTTCCAGGAAGATAACTGCCAATACCATATTGGCCCGAATATAAGCCGCACCTTTAAAATTCAAGGGAGGGGGGGAAAAGAAGACAATACCCAAATATAAGCCGCTCCCTTAAAATTATGCAGGCACTCACACCCGTAAATGGCAAAAATCTACAGCGATATTGAAAAAGCCAATTTTTATAAGGTTGCAAATTTAAGTCACACTTTAACTTTTCACGGTCGGAATTTGGGAAAAAAGTACCGGTTTTTTTGCCCTATAGGACGCACTTTTTCCCCTCCAAAAATGAAGGGGAAATGTGTGTGCGTCCTATGGGGCGAATGCAGGCTTTCGCTGAAGCCTGGAGAGCGAGAGGAGGCGCACGGTCCTCCGCTCCAGGCACCGACCCTCTCGCTCTCCAGGCTTCAGGAAGCTATCCGCTAGCCGTGGGAGACATAGCTCTCCCATGGCTAGCGGAGAGCTTGCTGGCACCCAGAAGCTTGGGGCATGCTGAGCTCAGCACACCCCAAGCTTCGGGCTTCGCGCAGCGCTCCGCTAGCCGTGGGAGAGCTGCATGACTTCACGCAGCTCTCCCACGGCTTGCAGATAGCAGCCTGTTCTGGGGGCTGGGGTCGGGGGAAGCTCGGACTTCCCCCGCCCCAGCCCCACACCGGGGGGGAAATAAATTTTTTTTCTTTATTTCCCCCCCCCAAAAAAAAACTAGGTGCGTCCTATGGGCCGGTGCGTCCTATGGGGCGAAAAATACGGTATTTCATTTAATTGAACATATTAATATTATTATTATTTATTCAACTTATACACTGCCCTCAACCCAAAGGTCTCAGGGCGGTTCACAACAAGACCACAACATATAAAATCAAACCAAAAGTAATAACCCAATAACGTGCCCCCTCCCAAGCCACATTGGGTGTCAACCAAAGGCCTGGTTAAAAAGGAACGTTTTTGCCTGGTGCCTAAAGGTGTATATGTGATTTCTGAACATGAAGGAAATCTAGAGAGTTCTGAGGAAAGAGATCGGGTTGTACACGGCCCCCCCATCCCAAATCTAGGACTGGAGTGAGTAGCTTAATTTTATGCCAATGACCTTTTACTTTGAAATAAGAACTTAATAGAAATTGGTGACACTCTGGTTAAACATTCAATTTTATCTATTTCGAAGGCAGTTAAGCAACGCAGTCATCCTAGATCGTACCTTTTGCCTTCTGCTGGGACATGCTAGGCCTGATGAGTGGTTTTTATTGATAATTTGAAAGTAGTTACCAGATCACTTGGCTTTTTTTCTCTGGTACCAAATGGACTGCTTCAAAAGTGGGTTGAGGACTATTGTTTTAACTACTTTTAAGATCACTGTGTGAGTGATTTATCACAAACAATCATTTTGAAAAAGGGTGCCCACTAAGAAGATATCATCCGATATAATATTATAGTATTATGTTACCCTCACATGTAACTTTAATCACAAATTGTTACTGTGTCTAAGACATCAAAACATTTTATACAGTGTGAAATGCATTCAAATTTATGGATGGCAGTACTACTTAGGAGGCAATCATACTACAGAGCTGATGTATATGCTTCACTCTTAACAGTCGAATGGCTTTAACTAAAGGGACTCCTACCATCATCTATTGATGAGAACTTCTTTACATTACAGTAACATTATTACTTTATAGAGTTGGGCCAAAGAGGTCAACTCAGGAGTAATGAATAATGCCTTTCAGTAAAACCAGAGAATGATTGTTTGTGTGGCAATCTCTCAGTGAAAGTTTTCCAAAGAGGCTGTGAGCTTATGCCACAAAGTACAGAAAGTCTTCCAGGAAGCAAGTGCTGAAGCTTAGATCAGGGAGCAGAACCCATTAAAAGCCATTAAAGAAACCCAAACTATAGTCTGAAGGTAAAAAATGGATTGATCTCCTGTAGCTGTAAAAGCAATAGAATTTCCATTTATTAATTAAAAGTGCATTTTATGTAGTTTGATGTGATAAATTGTTTGACTGTTTAGATTAATTCTTTCAGAAATGCCCCAAAGGCTATTAACATTGATAAATTATGCACTACTCCTTGTTAGGTTTGATAGACAGCTTTCACAGGTAGGCTGCATTTTTCTTTGGGGATATAGGCGGTTATCTGTAGTTAGCAGCAGTGAGAATTGCAGCTTGTCCTGCTTTCTCAGCTAGAAAGAAACAAAAGATCCCAATCCACATCAACACTCTTTTGGGTGTGGTTTTCATTTCATCCTTTGAGGATGGAAGGTCCTTAGTCTTAGGCTATCCTGTCTGGAATCTCCCATCTTGCCCAGTAATGTATTCTGGAGAAAAATGGATGATTTGGTACAAATCTCATAGGAGCCCTGTTCACATATTACTCACACAGGGATTAGTCATGATTCACCTTCAACCCTGATACCATGGAATGCACCTAGACGATGCCAGAGAACTTGCGACCCTCTAGATGCTATTGGACTCCAACTCCTATCATCTGTAACTATTGACAATGCTGGCTCATAGAATCATGGGATTTGGAGTCCAACATCATCTGGAGGGCCACAGGTTCTCAATCCTTCCATTAGAACATCTGGGTGTATATTTGGCAAATATTCAATGACTGTCTGGCAAATATTAAAGAGCAAAAATCTGCATTTTTGAGAATTTTGGGGAGCAAATTCATTTCAGCTCCAGTTGGAACTGATCATTTCAAATCAACCCGTGAAGTGTAGCTGTATTCACTGCCATCCTTTAGATGCCCATTCAAAACGATGTTTATCCAGGTAGTTATGCAGGTATTGAAATGCAATTTTGCAAGAACGCCAGTGTAATTTCAGGAGGGATGGTGCCACAAAGATCTTGAGTGTGGCTGTACAATGCGTCATTTATCAAACAATCCATCCAAAATTGGTTCGGAAAATGCAATATTTAGGGCTTTCATGTTTAATGTGCTGTCTCTTATCGTTTACATTGTTGATTTTAACCAACGGGTTGTACATCCCCCTGTGTGCAGTTTAGTATCTGGCATCCACTGTCATTTGAGGCCAAATGTACCAATGGCAAATGTACCATTTTGGCAGCAGCACATGGCTGCCTATTGATTCTGAATTGTTAGCTGTTGCTGGCTTGTTGGCACAATTGAATACTAGTCCCAAATGAGTATTTTGTGCTGTCGAATGCTTTCCAGTACACAAAGCAGCCAGCCAAGAAGAGAATGATAATTCTGGAACCTTTTCCTCATGTTTTGTGCTGCTTTTTAAAGTTCAGCATGAGTTGGACCATTGTAAAGCTAAACTTTCATAATACAGTGTATATTTCTAATTGTCAAGTGTCTGTGCTTCCAAGAAACCTTTATATGTTTTATAATGTAATAGATAATATTGGGGGGAGGGGGGAACATGCTTTGTCTTGTCCTTCTAGTTAGCTAACCAAGCTGAAACAAAGAGCAATGGATGAGTGTTATAATAGCCTAATTCATCCTCGCATCGCACATATCAACACATTGCTATTGACATTTCTATGAACTGAAGCCCCATTGAGCAAAATAGTTTTGCATGTATATTTAAGGTGAAAATGCATTCATTCTGCTCTTTCTCCCAAGGCAGGGGTAGCCAATGTACTGCCCTCCAGATGTTGGACTTCAGTTCCCTTCAGCTGCAGCCAGCATGACTAATGGTGAGAGATTATGGAAGAGTTAAACAGCATTTCGGAGGGGCCTATGTTGTCTACCGTTAGAGAATCTCAGTGCAGTATATCTCACTTTGTCCTCAAAACAGCCCTGTGAAGTTTGTTCATGATTCTGTCTATTTTGTTTTCAAAATGAGTCTATCATGAGCTTCTGCTTTTTTATTTGGTTATCCCTTCAAAAGAGCACTTTTGGGGTTTGCTGGACTCTTTACTTATTGCAGTTAACTTCTAGAAATTTTCTCCCTTTCAGCTTTGAGATTGGCACGTCTAGTTGTGGATTGAGGGCTGGATTAGATGGATCTCCGTTTGAAAGCAGTGCCTTTGTTTTTCTCTTCCTTGGATACCAACCCATTGCATTTTAACTTACTAGAAGTTGGGTGGTTTTTGTTTTTGTTTTTGAAATTAGCTCTCCTTTCTAAATCCAATAGACGAACCAGTTCTTCTTAATATGGGAGTCTACCTATAAAGACTGAAAGAGTCAGATAAATGCATCCTTCAAATCTCTCAGTTTTTTAACATGTAAAAAATGTGACACTGTCAGAAAGCATGTGAGTTTGGAGTTGCATCATTTTTCCCATCAGGCATAAATGATAAAAGATAAGAACAGAGCTGGAGTCAACACTTGGAATCTTTGGGCAACATCAATGGTCTCATCACCTCACCCTTGACCTTCCCTTTTGAATCAAAATTCTTCCTGGCACTACATGCTCCGTAAGGTAGATAGATCTAGTCACCATTTAAATTTTTCCCAGTGCCTCAGAGTGCCATGACACCACAAGAATCAGATGATATTTATATAGCAGCTAGACTGCCCATGACTGCTTAGAGCAGGATGGGGAATCTTAGATATAGGGTCTGAATTTGGCCCTCTCGTTCTCCCTATCCAGCTCTGGGGATTCTCTTCCAGCCAACCTCCCCCAGACAACACCCCTTACTCTCCCTACTGTAGACCCTAATCAAGAGATCCTGCCCGTCTGGAATGTGTCCTTAACATACCCCACAAGTGTCCTGGACGAGCTTTGTCATCTTGTTTTTTATCGCGAGAGAACAGCGGCCATTTTGGCTGCTGCGATTTTGCGTGATTTTGCAGTGCGACCCCCTCCACCATAAAAAATGCTTTCTTCGGGGTCACAGCACCCCCAAAGCATGTGGCTTTTGCCACTGTGTCTGAAAAAAAATGCTTTATATGTGTGTGAGGGGTAGGAAACGGTGGCGCAAAATCGCACGGGATAACAGAACCAAAATGGCCACCATGCACTCTTGATAAAAATTGGGAAGGTGATGCCTGAGAATTTGGCACCCAGGATTTTGGCTTCAAAGTGGAGAATGGAAAGTGTTCACGTGTTTGTGCAACCTTTGGCTTTGGTATTGGTAGAATCCAACCTAGGACAAAGACTAGAGGCGCATCCATTGTTTTGTTTACTTATGCATCTGGCTCTGCCTACCACAGACATGTGGCCCCTGGCAGTGGTGAAGCTCTGGTTTCAGTGAGACTTACCTTCATTTATTTCTTTGTGCTGGATGAGGACCTTCATGAGGGTGTCTTGTGTTGTGATGGTATGTGTCCAATGACACAACTTGCCTTTCCACACTCCCTTTCTCCTAATACGTGCACCAGCACTTCAAAAGTCACCCTAGTTGTTCAAAACTCTCTAATTGAAAAACTCCGTAACTCTCTGTGACCCCCTTTTAAAGTACGTATCAACAAACAACACAAACAGGACTTGTCAGCGCAGCAGAAAATAAAGCTGCCTGTTACATGCACAGTGTATCTTTAATGATGTTTAAAAAGGAGCTAAACATCTCCATGGGAATTCTAAAAACACTTATCTCTGAGGCAGTTATTTAGCTTCACAAGGCTTTGTTGTTTAACAAGCTGGAGAAATGGGTCACCTAATGTTATATTAATCAGTAAATTAATATTTTAATTTGATTTTCTTTATAGTTGAGATGCTTGCAGCATCTCCAGTGTTTTCTCTCTGTATGTGCTGGTGTTAAGTGGTATCATTATCATATTGTACCTTGGGGTGGTGAGATAACAGGGTCCAGTGATAGCTCTATTCTTGGGAGAAAAGGAGGCTCATCACAACACATGTGCACTTTTTAATGGTGTGTGAGGACTCTTACAAATCAAAGTTCTTTCAGATGACTCATAAGCTTTCTAGCCTAGGGATGGGGTAATAATTTAGACGGGTGCTAGAATATGCTCGAATTACAGCGATCTATAAGGGTGACCATTTACATATTGCTATTTATATATTGCCCCCAAGAGGACCTGCACGACCAAAAAGTGGGCATAGTTTTGCATAAAATTTGCATATGCTAATTTATATGCATTGGTGAAATAATTACTACAATTCACACTGAAATACAGTATATCTCACCGCAGAGGGGGTGATTGTGTCTGCTGGGCCTGACTCAGTCTACTGTCCAGGAGCTAACAGCTGGGCCCCGGCTGTCCTGTCTTAATGTCCTTTATCTTTATCATTGGACCAGAGAGCTCTTCTGACAAAGAAGAAGAGGAGTTTGGATTTGATATCCCGCTTTATCACTCCCTTTAAGGAGTCTCAAAGCGGCTAACATTCTCCTTTCCCTTCCTCCCCCACAACAAACACTCTGTGAGGTGAGTGAGGCTGAGAGACTTCAGAGAAGTGTGACTGGCCCAAGGTCACCCGGCAGCTGCATGTGGAGGAGCGGGGAAGCGAACCCGGTTCCCCAGATTACGAGTCTACCGCTCTTAACCACTACACCACACTGGCACACTGGATTGTCTTCTCTAGAATAGGACTCATGGCCATACTAAGTGGGTTGAGGTCCTATCAAACATGCCTGCCTGGAATTCATTCATGTCCCCCTCTCCCCCCCCCTCTGTGCTGACCTGTTCCTTTTGCGCTTTCCTTTGGAGGATGAGGGGGAAGAGAAATTGGCTGCAAAAAAAAGCCACCTCATTGGACACAGAGCCCCTCCACAGGCAGAAAATGAAACTCTTAGCATGTTTTACATCAATGGAATCATCAGGTTTGATTGCACACTCAATAATTCCCTGCAGGGAATGGCATTTTAAGTGCAATCCAAACCCAGGATACACCAGAAAGAAAGAGTTTAGATTTGGTGGGTCTTGGGCTTTCCTGGGACTGAGCTGTGTTAAGACTCTTGTTGCTGGCTCAGCCAGGCCTCAGCCAGCAGAATTTGAGACAGTGTAGTTTATCCTGGCATAAGTCCCCAAAAAGGGACATTGCAGGGGTGCGGCAGGATAGGACAAGGGGATATTTGTGCCTATTGCAAGAGTCCTTTTGGCTCAGCCATGTGACCTGGCAATGCAGTGAAACTTAGGAAGTGTAAGTAAAATTCCTCCAAATGTCTCCTAAACAGATTCTGGAATGGGGGTAATATGAGCTGGCGGAATTTATGCCAGCTTTCTATAGTTAGCATCGCTCTGTCTGTATGAAACTGGTGACCAAGAAGGAAGCCACCCGGGACCTTTCCGTGAATGCAAATAACGTTAGTGTTCTGCCAGGATTTCTGGCATTTGTAGTCCTAGAACCCAGCAGGAAATGATGCTTTGCTGGGGCGTGGGTTGAACACACGGTCAATGTTTTGTCCCAGCACAAAAAGGATTTGTAAAGAGGGAGGAGTTGTCAGCAGTAGATACTGCTCAAAACTCACTCAAGGCTTCACACCCATTTGCTTGGAAGGTACACAAAGCCTTGACCCACACACCCCTTGGGGAGAAGTTGTGAGATGCTCATGTATCCCTACTAAAAAGTAGACAAATTAGCATCATTTGAAGAAAGAAACTGCACATCATTTCTTTTCTTTTCTTTTTATTTTTTTTATTGGATTATTATGCAGATACAAATGAAACAAAGTATACAAACATTTCAACTGAATACAAAAAACAAATAAAAAAAGAAAACAGAGCAAAAACAAAAAGTAAAAACATAAGTATAATACAAGGTAACTATAATAGACATCCCAGAATGTAATTTCTCTACTGAGATGTCGACCCTTTCTGGGGTGAATCTCTTTTTATTATATTTTTGGGTTTTTTGACTTCCATCGACCTCACGGTGGTTCATTTCCTATAACTAAAACAATTTCTCTGTATTTCAATATATTCCTCATCTTGGTATAAGGAGACATTTTCCCACTTACGGGTTTATTCTAAACACAACCAAATCTGCATGTCATTTCTATGCCTCATAGCTCAGCCCCATTTTGTTATCACTTCATTATCAATCTCCTTTAGTCTAAACAATCCCAAATAAGATTAAAATATCTTTGCAGCACAGATTTAAGCTTCTTAACATATCAATGCCATTGCATTGTTCTCCCCATTGATATTTTTGGATACTGAAGGTAAATCAATATTATTAATATAAACCCCAAATTGATTCACTTTTCCTATTAAAAATGTGAAGGCTGAAAAAAAGTCAGGAGCTAATGATTTCTCTTAAGTCTGCAGCAACCCTTTAATTAAATCGGAAGTGGGTGGGTGGGGGGAATACATTTAAAGAAATATCTAAGCCCCACTTAGGTCAACCAATTTTTAGAAGTGAATGTTCTATCATTAATAAACTGGAGGAAGATCAGAGTAATAAAAGAACAAAAAGATGGAAGTGCATTGAAATG